CGGACAAGGCCTGAAGCTCGCTTACACGCTTTGCTGAGGTGATGGCAAGAGGGAAAGCAGTCTTAGCTGAGAGCCACTTCAGTTCTGCCTGTAACAAAGGTTCAACAGGAGGCGAGCATAGGGCATCCAGCACCAAGGGCAGGTCCCATGTAGGGGCCCTTGGGATATTCGGGGGGCGAAGCCTCAGAGCTTCCCCTTAAAAAGAGGGATACCAGCCTATGGCTCCCCACTGTGCTGTTGTCAGCCCTTGCGTGTTGAGCTGATATAGCAGCCACATACACCCTGACGGTAGCGGGACACCGGCCGTCGTCCAGGAGGGACTGCAGGAACTCAAGGGTTGTAGGTACCGAGCAATATACTGGGTCCTCATTTCGCCCTTGGCAGTAGATGGTGCCCTAGCATTTGAGAATAGTCTTCCTGACAGACTCTATGCAGTCGCTCAGCAGTGGGTCGGGCCCTCCAGTGGCCAGACCCACAGCTGGAGGTGGCAGGGGTCGGGGTGCCACATCCGACCCTCCAACTGAGACAAGAGGTCCTTCCTGTTGGGGAGATGCCAAGGCGTCCCACAGCAGAGTCTGTGCAGCAGATGGACAGGCCCGCACCTAGCTGGGTTAAACAAGGAAGTTTAATAGGACAGCCTAGCCAGGCGGCTCCTGCTAGAATCAAGCAACACGCCTACCAGGAGCGGGGGCGAGAACACTGCCTTCACTGGTTGAGTTGATAACGAATTCCAGATGCAGCGTAACCGGGAGCGGGTGCAAGAACACAGCCTCCACTAGCCTGCTGAACGTAAAGAGTAGAGCAATGCTCCTACTCGCCGAACACAGAGAGGGATGTAAATGTCCTACACCCACGTTACCAGCAGAGAGAGCGGGAGCGAGAGCACTGCCTTCACCTAGGTGGATTAGATAAGGACATTTAACAGGGCAGTTTATCCAGTCTGCTGCTGCTAGAATAAAGCATCACGTCTACCAGGAGTGGGGGCGAGAACACTGCTTTCGCTGGTTGAGTGACTGTGTCCAGAGCCACCCCAATGAAGATTAGGCTCTGAGAGGGGTTCAGACAACTCTTCTCCAATGACTTGCTTTCACTGCAAAATCCAACTAACTTATTAATAAAATAAAAAGATCTTTTACATAAAAAATATACAGATTTATTCCAGTACCCTTTGCACTTCAAGCGATTGCATGGCTCAAAGATAACACATATATTCAGTGTTTGGGGCCACTTCTGTTTACCACTATGATTTGTATTTTTATTCGCAATATTCCAAGAGGCTGTCAGCTAGGGGCCAAGCCTACAAATATTTCAATTTGTTGCCATAAATGGTCAAATCTAGGACCAGAGCTCATTCCTGAGGTGCAAGTGCTTGCATCTCGATTTGTTTTATCAGTCACTATGTGTACTTCAAATGAATAGCAAACAACACCAGCATGGGCGGGCTGCTCTACTAACAGCGCCGATGCAGGGAAGGCGAACCTGTTTCAGGGTTTTCAAACTAACTACACGGACCGTACTGCAGTAAACAAACAAATGGTAATGTCCCATGTTTAGATAAGATACCAGTGTTATTTTTGACAAGCTCTAAGTTTCAGTGGATTGTTCGTACTTTACCTATTCTTGCCATCTGACTGACAGGCAGGAAAACAGACAGACAAAACACAAAAAAGATTTGAAGAAGGGTTAGGGGTATTTTTGATTAGGTATTTTAATTTAAAAAAAAAATAATTACTACCATCACGTTACATTTTAACAAGTTTGTTATTTTATCAGAATCAGAAACGGGTTTATTACCAGGTAGGTTGAAACGTACGAGGAATTTCACTTGGTGTCGTGGTGCATACATAAAATTAAAACAAACATTTAAAAACACAGATAGAGAACTATTTTAAGAACACTATAATAACGTAAAAAAATTAAATAAATAAGAAATATAGTAAAATAAAAAATAAAGCAGTATTTACATTGAAATAGAATGGAATACAAATATAAGATATGTGCAGTAAAAAAAACAGATATTGTCAACATTGTGTGCATTAATGTAATGCATAGAGTCTGCGATGTGGCTGAGGTAAAGTGTCAGGCCTTGTTGATGAGGCCGGTAGCCCTAATTCGGGTTTGTAACTATTAATCACTCCACGACAGGCAAGGCAAGGCAAGGCAAAGCAAGGCAAGTTTACTTATATCGCACCTTTCAACACAAGGCAATTCAAAGTGCTGTGCAAGCGATACTTCTGTTTTTTTCCAGATAACAACAAAAGTCTATGTGAGTGTCGTAACTCTCTCTTTGAACAGCCAACCAAGAAGCTTCACGTTTCTCTGCCAAATGCTCCACCCAGGCGGTAACTATTCTTTATCCACCCAAATTTCTGGAAGTGCATGTGCTCACTTGCTGAAGGCACCAACAGACAGATACTGATAATAAAGGTTTTAATTTCTCACGGAAGACAGAAGAATCTGACACCAATCCATGACTCACCTGTGCAGACACGCCTGAAATTAACGCCACACCCTGCACGTGTGTGTGAACTTCTGCAATACAATACACACACTCTCACAAACAAACCTAACCAAACACACATCTCTCCCTCCCTTAATCTTTTATTACAATGGTAAAAATACAAACAAATATATTTGAAATAAAGATCTTGTGTTGATTAGTATAAAAAGTAATTATCCATTTGTAATATTTACAGATACATACTGTATTCAGATTTCAAATATGTCAAAGTAATAAAAGACGAGACAGTGACTCGGTTTTTTCCAAGAACAGAGGCCAGATGTACAGGTTTTGAAGCTGAAACAAAGAGCAAATGTTATGAACACGGCTACATATCACCTGAGGCAGCAAGCCAAAGTAAAACCTTTTATCTCCAGACAGCAGTTTGAGACAGTAATCCACGCCTTTGTCACCACTCGGCTGGATTACTGTAACTCTCTCTACATGGGGGTCTGTGGGTCCTCCCTCGCTCGTCTGCAGCGGGTGCAAAATGCCGCAGCAAGGCTTTTAACTGGCACACGGAAATATGGCCACATTTCCCCCATTTTGGCTTCGCTCCACTGGCTGCCAATACATTTTAGGATTCATTTCAAAATCCTTTTGTTTACTTTTAAATCCCTAAATCCTTAGCGTATTAACATCTTTTAGAGCGTTGCTTTTATTGCTTTTAAATTCTCTATTGTTTTTACTTGTACTTGTTTTATGGTGTGTGAGCTGTGCTGTGTTATTTTTTGTATGTTTTGTTTTGTTTATTTGCCTGTACAGCACTTTGGTCTGGAGGTTTAAAGTGCTCTATAAATAAAGCTGTATTGTATTGTATTGTACATAATTATAGTTCATGTGGTGATTCATTGTGTAAATCTCCTTCTTTAACTATGAGTAAAAAGCTTCACTGTGAATCATATCCAATAAAGATCTGGGATCCACTGTAAAGGAGGATTGAAGCACTGGTAATGAAGTCTAACGGGATTTCTCGGTAAACGTGCACCAAAAAAAACGAGGTAAAAACCAGACCATGTCCTGTACCATATTTAAGTGGAGCAGCAATGTCCTAAAAGTCCTAAAAACCTGTTTTTGCACTTTACCATTTCCGGTTCCCTCCTCTGGAAGTTTCTTTTAATGTGTTTTTGGACAGAAATCTGAAATAAATTCTGTAGTTAAATCAAGCAAAATAGTTTTTAACGTTTTGTTGGCTGTAGATGGGAAATCCCATTGGCTTTTTGACGAGGGACCCGTTTGGGAAAAGTCAGTAAATACCAGACCAGTGAATGTCCGAAGCATATATGTGAAGCAATGCAAGTTCGGTTTAGTTTGTTTATTTATTTATTTTTACATTTGATTTCTGCCGATTGCATTTATGCTTCAAAATCACTAAGTGGAGTTAATCTTTGGGAGAATATCCTGCTAAACAAAACGTGTCAAATATAATAAACATGTGTTGGCCACAAAGCTTATTTTGTTGTATAGTTAAATTAAAGGCTTGTGTGTGATAGGTGGAAGTTCCTGGGTCGGTTAAGGTCATATGTTATATGTGTTTTTCTTAAAGGTCACCTATTATGCAAAATCCACTTTTTCATGTCTTTTATACATAAACATGTGTCCCCTCTGCGTTAAGAGAGTCTGAAAGTTTCAGGAAAAAAGATTTGCACTCTTTTTGTCCTGATCCATTTATTTAAGAAACCTGTCTGAAAATGAGCTGATTAGATTTTGGCCACTTTATGATGTCATAACGTTTTTTTGGCATCAAAATCACCTGAATCTCCTCCTAGAGCAGGGGTGTCAAACTCATTTTCACAAAGGGCCATTCTGGGAAATTGGAATCACATTAAGGGCCGGACATATGCTTTACTGACATGCCTTTTTTATTCAATAAACAACATAAAAAAACATCTTTCAATGTATTGTTGTATGTACTATATAGCCTTCCCATATATATTTAAACACATTGATTTGCAATCATAGCATTTGGTAAAGCAAAATAATGCTTTATGGCTAGCATACAGCCAACTCAGAACCTGTTGCACAGGCCTGAATATGACAACAATGTGAAAAAATGGTTGTGTTGAATAATAAACAAACACAAATCAACCTGATATAAAAGGACAAATATTGAACGTTGTCCCACATTTCAACAGATATCACAAGCCTTGATACAACAATTAAATGGTTGCGTGGAACATTGTATAAAAGTAAACACATCTGAACATGTTGTCCCTTGCAGTCTGTCCTATTGGCATAAAATCAGCTGCACTAACCTCACTGTCAAGCAAAACACACATTTAACCTAATTCACAGTATCATATGTACATTTATATATAGAAATATATATATAGCCTTTTCACATTAGTTGGTCAACATAAAGCCCAAACTAAGTCACATCATAGCATTTAGTCAAGCAAAACAATGCGTTCTGAATACATTTTAACTGGTTGGCAGCCAACTCAGAGCAACCTCTTTCACAGGCCCGAATAGGGCTATTTAAAGAAGGTTCTTTGAGACATTAAATGAAAAGGTATGGCCTGATGTCGGAAAATCGCCTGTCGAATTCGGCTTTGAGGGTTTTCAGTTTTTCTGCGCATCTCTCATTTGGGAAAGCAGTGTTGAGGTTGTCTGCAACAGACTGACAGGTCGGGAAGTGAACATAGTTTCCCTGCTGCATTTGGTTCTCCCACAAGCGCAGTTTTGTCCGAAAGGCTTTCACTGCGTCACGCATGTCCGTGATCAGCTGTTTGCGTCCCTGCAGTTTCACATTAAGTGCGTTGAGATGGTGCGTTATGTCACACATAAAAGCCAAGTCATGTATCCACTTTTCATCGGCCAGCTCGGGGACAGCTTTCCCCTTCATTGCCATGAAACTAGCAATATCCTCGCGCAGCTCATAAAATCTGTGCAACACCTTCCCACGGCTTAACCAGCGTACTTCTGTGTGGTATGGCACATGTTCATACTCCGAATTTCCCTCCTCCAAAAGTGCCCTGACCTGGTGGTGGTCCAAGCCCCGTGCTCGGATGAAATTCACCGTTTTCGTAACCACTGTCATGACATGTTCCATACCTAGCACTTTTCCACACAGGGCCTCCTGATGAATAATGCAGTGGTAAGCAGTCAGCTCTCCTCCCGTCTCCTTCATCTTCTCTCGCACCTTTGCTACCATTCCACTCCTTTTCCCACACATAGCAGGCGCCCCATCGGTCGTCAGCCCCACAAGTTTATTCCATGGTAAGCCGGTTCCACTGATGCACATCCACCTGTTTGAAAATATTCTGGCCGGTGGTTGTTCCGTACTTTCATCAACAGCAATTGAGTAGTTTACAGATTCTTTTGCTTTATCTTTGAGCTGTGATTGCAAATCGTCAGAAAGCTCATCCACACGGCTGGCCATGGTATTTCTTGTCAGACTGACATTGGCAAAGTGTTGTTTATTGGCGGGGCAGACAATGTCACAAACTTTAAGCATACCGTTTTTTTAGAAAGTCCCCCTCGGCAAATGGCTTCCCTGATTTAGCGATTTCCTCTGCTATGATGAAACTTGCCTTTACAGCTCCATCTGTTAAAGATCTGGCCCTGTGAAACATATTTTGCTGTAGTTGAATGCCTTTTTTGAGCTCCGTGACTTTCTGAAGCCTCTGTTCCCTGTCCATGGTGGCATATTGCTGCTGGTGGGCCGTCTCAAAATGACGACGCAAATTATATTCTTTGAACACGGCTTTTGTCTCATTGCAAATAAGACACACAGGCCTCTTTTTATACTCAGTAAAGAAGTATTCTATCTCCCACCTCTCTTGAAATTGCCTCCCTTCAGCATCAACCTTCCTTTTTTTTGCCATTCTCTGTGTTACTAGCTGACAGGTGCGGGCTAGTTGAGATTCGCAGACCGTTAATGCTTCCGTGTTGGCTGCTTACGTAGTATAGGATTTCTTAAGCCCTGAGAGCAGGATAAACTGAAAAGAGTCAAGGGAAGCTTATAAAAGTTAACAGCATTTAATTACACAAATGATGCAGTGATATACAATGAAATTGCAAGTGGAGGCGCTCTCCCCATTCAGCTGTTGCCCGTCGCGTGTGCGTTCGGTCAGCCGAGGTGAAGAAAGAGACCGATTCTTCCTTCTTCCATCACAGGTTATCAACTGTAGTCTTCTACTATTGGCCGGCGTCGACGGGGGCGGGTCCAATGCAAATCCTGCCGTTTTCTGCTGCTAAATTACATCATTCTAATGTCTGTGGTTATTTAAACATTCCCTAATAAAAGTTTTTGCAGCGTCAATAAGTGAGAGTTAAAGACAGTGTGTTTAGGGTACAACATCACATGTCATTTCACCTTCAATTCACGGTTTCAAAACGTAGCATTCGCTACATGCTAATGCTAACCGGAAATGACGAGATTTAGCCAGCGGAAAACCGGAAGTCATGTGTGAACATTCGGTTTTTAGAATAAAACAGATTTAAATTAAATATATTTAATTTAAATTACGCCATATCAACATTTATTTTAATTTCTTACAGTAGGCTACGCTGTAAGCCACGCAATTGGCCATAGCAATTGAGAGTATTCTGCCTGTGCCAATCAGGTACCAACAACATCATTTGCGTAGCTTACGGCGTAGGCTCTTTGTGACGCCAGAACAGAATCATACATTTAAGCTGGCCACTTTTTATCGATGATATAAATTGATATGCGGGCCTAATCAAAATTGTAGAGGGGTCGGATTCGGCCCGGGGGCCTTGAGTTTGACACGTGTCCTAGAGCACCATTGTGTTCTTTTTAACCAAATACCTCACAGAGGGGCGTTGGGAGTGGCATCTTATTTTTATCTAAAGTAACAGACAGAGAATCAGCACTTTTGAAACAGGGCTGAAACAGAGGGGTTTATGAGATGCTACAATGCATGATCTGTTTGGTATTTCAGCCAAACACTTCAGAGACATGTTTTGTATATATCTGAGACCTATAACATATTGATGAAAAACAGTATAATAGGGGACCTTTAAATGCAGAAATGTGTTAAGGAAAGGTTTAAATGAAATATATGTATAATAGATAGCGACCAAATGTAATTAACCGGTCAGTGTGCTATTTAGCTACCGCATATTAGCTATCTAGCTAAATAGGGAATGTTAGCTTTCTATCCAGCTAGCGAATGTTGGATATCTTGCCAGCGGGTTAGCTTTGTAATGTAAGCAAGGTTTGTTGTGTTCAAAATTGCAGGAAAGACAGACAACTTCTAAGTTTAACTATTTATTATGAGAGAGCAAAAGATATATATTCACTTGGCCAAGGACTCCGTCACGTCATAGAAATTACAGGCAGCAAAGCTGTAATCTGTAACCACTATTTCCGGAAAGAGCCCCGAACCTTGTGCGAGCGTACATTTTTATTACACAGGGAGTTGCCCGTACATTTATGATTGGTCAAGACTAGCTGAGGAGATACCATGGTTTAGACTTGGTTCTCTTTGGTAGGTGCACCCACTTTGAAAAAAGTCTCTTGGCAACACGATCCTCCAATCAGCATTCGGCCGGCCTGTGGAAGTCCCTCCCTACTCTGGCACCATCATACGTTATTTGTTTTCGCTAACGTTTCTACAGAAAAAGTGGAATCTTCATAAGGCTGCTTCCTAGCTATGTGTGGGAGCGGAGCTCACCCAAAGCCGGAGTGATGTCCTGTTTATGAATAACTCTTTGTATTCTTCCAGTGTCTGCACCTGACCTTGCTACATTAGTATTGCAAGCTGAAAACTTTCTTCTGACTATTCCCTTCGTTGGTATCTAACCGATCAGAACCTGGGATTAGTGATTGTGTCTATTTATTTTATAGTCATAGCAATCTCATGAGCACAATAAGCATATAATGTAATAATAAGAATCCCTCTTGTAATGTTATAGAAAAATAGACTCCACAGGTTACGTAAGCTAACTGTCTAACAAACTATGTAGCGTCCCCTCCTGTGTAACCAAGCACGTGGTGGATGGGAAAGATTGAAACATGTTTTTGTGTTACAATTAGGGGTGTAACGGTATACGTATTCGTGCAGAAAATATTCCGTATGGGCCCTTCGGTTCGGTACACGTGTGTACCGAACGAATATAACGTTAAACGTAAAAGATTGAGAACGTGAACAACTTTTTGGAAGTAATCTCAGGTGCTGTGTCGCAGCGTACAGTGTAATTTGCTCACGTTGGGTGCAACGCGTCAAAGAGCGACCAAGTCATTTCATTGGACGAGAGGCATACTATGAGAGCTGGTCACAGGGATGCGTTCAAATTTAGTCAGTAATTTGAGGAACTGGCAAAATGGCGAACTCAGATAAAGTTGAGCTCGAAAATCCTCCAGCATCATTGAAGTCTCCGGTTTGGGAACATTTTGGTTTCGCAGTTACGTACGAGGATGACGGACAAAGACAGGTGGACCGAACCAAAGCTGTTTGTCGGCATTGTTCAACTAAAATTGGTTACGCGGCTGGCAATACATCCAACTTGCACACTCATTTGAAAAGGCATCACCCGAACGTGAATATCACCGGTACCAAAAAAAAAATGACTGAAGTGCAAACCCAACTCCCACTAGCATTTAAGCCTCCAACACTCGCAAAAAGTTCAGACTGAGCCAAAGCTATTACAAACGCCAAATATCCTTATGTTGCCATGTTAGCAAAGCGCTACCTGGCTGTATCTGCTACCTCTGTCCCTAGCGAGAGGGTGTTCTCCACAGCAGGAGACATTAGTGCCAGCAGATATGCCCTTTCGGCAATCAATGTGGAAAAGTTCATTTTTCTTAAAAAAAACATGAAAATACAATGACAAGCCTAATGTCAAGCTGGCTGCTTCGGTGAATACTAGTACAGTACAGTTCAAGTACAGATTATTTCAATTAATCGAAATGCTGCACCTTAATGTTATTATATTTTGTATTTATTTTAGTGAATATTCACAGTTTAATAATAATTAAAAACCCAAAACAAATATTTTATGTTTTGTGAGTACTAGTACAGTAAAGTTCAAATACAGATTATTTCAGTTCATCGAAATGCTGCACCTTACAACACACTCTCACTCCATAAACGTCCAGGAGCGACGATTGGTCAGGGTCCCGAGGCGTGCAGTTGGGACGCTCCTAGGCTCCTTCAGCTTCATAAAGGGACGCAAATAGCTTTCAACTGATTGCAATGTATTCCCATCTGCGGCGGGATTTGACGCTCATGGAAGCACGGCATTCGTTTGTGTCGGCGGCATTTAAAGGCAATGTGAGCGTCCATTCCCATTGGATAACGGAGAATTGTACACCCGGAAGTAAGTATTCCCCTTACTGTCGATTGATTTGACAGTGATAGCTGCACTACTCATCAACTAAAAAACACCAGATTATCCTTGTTAATTGCACAACATTGATTGGTTTAAATTGTGTGCAATGCTTTTGTATTTTTCCCCTTCGATTCGGAGAAACAAATATATACAGGTATACTGCCTTCCTCTGTCCTTAACTCCTGCCTATGTCAGGCTGATCAGGTCCGAGCTCTTTTATTTTCAGCTTTCTCTCCAGTCTCCTCCTCTCAAAGGGTGTTTCTTTAAGTGATAAAACATAATTTTCTTTCTCCATAATCGCTCTCTAGTTTTGTTTACACTCCGTCTCCGTCTAACTCTCGCTCATTCAAACGTCAATCACTCCCTCTGGCGCTCCTGCTGCCCGCTAGTTTTTAGCGATGTCAACAGCTGCTTTTGGGCGCAGTTTGGTGCGCCCCGAGCTGCTCTTATCTGTTGCATTGAAGAGGTGCTCCTATCTGTTGTATTGAAGAGGTGCGGACTGCGCATGCACCACTTATAACGAGAGTCTATGGGCAAAGATTTCTGCGCCCCAAGCAGAAAACACGTGAATTATCAGTAACTTTAGACATCGTAAAACAATTTTTATCGATATTTTATTGTAGATTATACATTTAATTGACACCAACTATATGATATGTACCTTGTTCATTACATTTCTTTTATAACATTTATTAAAATAAAAATATTTTTGAATGACAATCTCGAATGTGGGAAGAGGTGAGGCGGCGCCCCTATGGGCCGGCCGCCACTGGTGTGTGTGTAGTATCTTAACTGGCAAATTGTCTTCTTTGTGGTAAAGAATGCACTTGGCCTTGAAATCAGCTGCAGACACAACACAAATACGCTGATTATACTTGTTCAGATCTTTCATTTCCTTTATGAATTTAAAATATAATTGTATTTTCAATAGGGATTTATCGGTATAAATAAATTGATACATTTTGATAAGGTTAATTGTTCCTGTCTCAACTAACCTTGATCACGAGGGGCAGTGCTGACTGACGAGGAGGTGTTGTCATCAGATGAGGTCTAACTGAGGCTCTTTCTGACCCTCTTGCTGGATCTCTTTGTTTCCTGATACTTCCTCTTTCAGCTCTTCCTCTATTCAGCTTCAGAGTTGATGTTAATGCTGGCTGCTGTAGATATCCCAGCATCCTCAGTGGAAGAGCCTATAAATGTGTGAGGGTGGGCCTTTGCTTTGGGGATTGCTTTTGAACCTCTTTTTTTTCCTGCAAACAGGCACAGCCCCAAAGCTTTGTCCGTAGAGACTCAGGGTTTCTCCTGAAAAAGAAAAAGGCAAGAAACATAAGCCTGTTTTGCTCCCAGGTAATAATCGACACTGTTATCCATACTAATCAAACATATTAATCTTTAGGCCACTAAAACTTCATATTTTATCTTTTGAATTATTAATTCAGACATTAAGTTCAGCACAAGTCAGCACTAGTCTTGCTCTGTTATCGCTCATCTGAGACTTAATTGCTCACTCTCAATATAACATATGGCCAATGTACTGTATAATAATATATTAAAATATGTTTGCTGATTTAGATTATAGATACATAATATAAACAGACAAATTAACTCGTAAGTAAAGCTTTAACTTAATGGTGTGATGAAAAAAAGTACAATATTGGACAATTTTGGAATAGTAGAAAGAAGCATAACATGGGAATACAACAATCTACTACTTACTCCACAACAGTTTATTGAAACCTGAAATGACCACACCCTGCTGTCAAGCTGTCTCCACCTAACTTTCGGCACAAATACAAAAATAGGAGAGGCATTAGGTAACAACGCAGGGTTGACAGGAAACAGATTTTCATGGAAGTACATTTTCTTCCCGTTCAAATTCCTGGTATGCCACTGAAGTGTAAGCCAGAGGTCAATGTATTGTCATGTATCTGCGTCTTCCACAACATATACAAAGCAGAATAAATGTATGTATACAAACCAACCCTCTCTGCTGCACATATAGCAACATTGTTGCCTTAACCGCAGCAATGTTTATGTTTATTTGCATCAAACTGGCGTAAAGCTAAAATTTCACTTTGCATTCAATCTTAAACTGTTATTGTGACTTGTATTCTGGACTACTGGTAAAAATATTTGCTAATTCCAGCATTTTTGTTTCACGTATTTTGGACTGAATGTTTTCAAGTTTCACTGTAAGTTCTCTGGGTGTGACAGCATCAGCACATATTGTGGGATAGACATGGTAGTTATGTTATATACCGATTCTACCTTTTTCTACTCTTGCAACGTTGGGAAGAATGTTCATTGTGTCTCCAGAAAGCGCTCCAGATACTTTGGAGGCTTGCAAGGACATGAACAACATGTGAAATCTTGTAATCTGCCATATCCTCTGATTCACATCAGTTGTTAAAAAAACATCGGTTAAATACAGGCTGTATCTTGTCCCTGTCTATTTGAAAAATATAGATGAGTCACTGATCAATTAACAGGTGAATGCAGGATGACCTGTTACAAACCTGTTATCTGTCAGTCCATATACAAGTCCTTGTAGCCATAGGGACACAGCGTCTTAGGCATAGGAACAAGCCAGGACGTCCTCCATAGCACAGGGACCCTCCAAAAGACTCGGGCTCATGGTGAAGACATGGTGAAGCTCCTTTGTCAGCCCAAAACGTTTGGATGGAAACGTTGTTGATATGCAGGCTCCAGCACTTATTACAAATGAACTACAAGCAGATAATAAATGAGCCCTTTGGAAAATATGTCCACCATGTCAAGGACGAATTTAAAGTACAAAGGTTTTTTGATACAATTGTACTTTGCTTCCCTTTGTGATATACAATAGTTGAACTGTATTTTCTACATAAAAACCAACGACAAATATATCTGGTTATCCTTTCGATTTTATCACAAAATAATGCATCAAAAGGTTTTTCGAACTTGGGAAAAAACTTGAACAAAGGGGTGGATAAATACTTTTAACTACAAAAGGTCAGTTGGTTAAAGATACATACTAGTTTTCACTTTCTGTTTGGGGGGAGGACTGTTCATCACTGTCAAAACTCTTGAGCATACAAACAGACGGCTCAATCTGTAATGAGCACCTGTTCAGAGCTTGTGATTCTGGCAATATGCAAATGATCTGCCCATCCCAATGATGCTGTCCCAGGAACCTGGCCAACATATGCATCCTTTTCATCCTTTGTCATACTGTACGTTCCTCTCTCACGAAGTGTATACATTGGTTTCTTCTTTCCTGTCTCTCTCTTTCCTTCTGATGGTATGATTTTCATTCATTCAGGGTTTGCATTCTTCTCTATATTGCCATACAATTGGTGCCGCCCTAAAAGCCAATGATTTTATTACTTCAGGCCTAATAGATGTTTCTCAAAATTCAACATAACATTTCTATAAATTGCGATAACAGGTAGTCCAGAGGCAATACACACCAGCGACGTGCAGTCTGGGGAGGCAGGGGAGGCAGAGCCTCACCTGTCATACTCCAATGTAACGGAAAAACAATTAAAGAAAAACTAAATAATAATAATAATAAAATGTCTCCACTGATCTGTGTTGTAAATGTGATTTCTGTATGATTCCAATCGCTTCTTATAGTCAAAATCAGCTAATTTGCAGAGCTCCGCTACAACTAGGCTACATGGGAGCGATGAGGATTGAGGCAGGGACGAGCTCTGCCTCTCGTAAGCCCACAGTAACTTGCTGGAGCGCGGGCACTAATTTAGCGCGGCCACTTATTTTGTGAGCGCGCTTAAGCCAGTTACTGTGGGGCAGAGTCCTGCACGGGTCTGATTTTCAAGTCCCGCTCCCGCCCCGCACCCGCGACGTGCAATACCGAACCCGCCCCGCTACCTGCACATATTGCCAATTAGTTCCGCGACCCGACCCGTCGGCACAAGATCCGCAACCCGACCCGAACCCACATATATATGAGCAGTGAAAACGTGCAAATATTAACACACGCAGTTGCATATTTGTTTTAAAAAGCGTGGGATGTTGGTTATTTTCTCCATCTAGGATGACACCAAAAGCCTCCCAGACGTTGGATTTTGCTCTTCAGGAAGTGTTATTGAAAATGCTGTATTCTCCGCTAGAGAGCTTCACCTCAGCCATTTCGAATGTGGCGCGCTCAGCAGCAGATTGATGCGCTGCAGAGGTTATGATTATGCGCGGTCCCGCGGGGGAGAGGTCTGAGGATTTAAACATTAAACTAAATTATTATTATTTTTAATATATTTATTATGCAACACCCGCGACCCGACCCGCATCATCTTTGTTTTACCCAGAACCGAACCCGGAAAAAAGCGTTTGAAAAAATACCATCCGCGAATCACTTTTTTTGCGGGTTAGTCTCTAAATAACTTATTTCACGTATATATGATATTTAGGCCCGCTGGTCTCATCGTACAACGGCAATGAAAAAAGCATCAGGAGAGGCAGCCATAACCTCTGCCGCACTGAAGGGGGCGCACGTGAGCCCACAGGTTCTTGTTGCTACTGTTATTCTACGCAGAGACGGTAGACGCAAACAACAAACTATTGACTTTTGAAACTACAGGAAGATAAGGAGGACTTTTACATAACAGTAATAGAGATTGTTGTCCAGAAGGATTGCATGGACTTCATCTTCAAGTCAAGGTAAGACCACAATTGTAATGAAAATGGGATCTTACTAAGAAAGAACAATCCAATATTTAGATTTTGGGTATCCTTTTGTTGAACGGTCTGTTTAAAATTAATCATAGCATCAGACTAAAAAAGCTTTTGAAAATAACAGAATATTTCAATTAAGGTCAAAATATAATATTTGTAAATCTGACTCTGAAAGAGTCAGTGCCTCACCAGCCATGAACCTCACCGCACGTCACTGATACACACTCATAACTTGCTAGCTGGCATAGTGCTAATATGTATAAAACACATTTTATCTGGTACAGACCAGTCAAGACTAGTTTTTTGTTTAGCTTGTCAATATGCTTATTTTACCATAAGTGTACACCTACAAAAACTTTGTAGCTTCCAAGTAAATTCCATCATTTGTTTTTCAGTGACTGTAAATTGCGTAACACCCACATACACACCACTGTATTCATGCTTGAGGGTGTGTTTGTGTGGGGGAGCAATCCTCTTTCATAAGCCTCCTCTTAGCCTCCATCAGCTCACAGTCTGTCTGGGACTCGTAAAGCTTGGTTCACTTAGCACTGGGACTTTCTCTAGTCATGATCGGGATTTCCTTGCACGTCTTTTTGCTACTTTTGACAGTGAGTACAGAAGGAGTTTCCTATGTCTTTTTCTATGTTTTCTATTGTTATAACTTAACTGTGTTTAAAAAAAATTCAAGTTTGTTGTGAATGCTGCCTTGTGTCAAAAAGATTCAAACCCAGTAAACCAAATAATACTACGCTGATGAAAGAATGACTTGTTTACTTAGTCTTATCAGCTACTTCTTGTTTAAACCTACCTGCTGCCATGGCGGTGTCAAACAGAAACATGGTCGAGGAAAAATAATTTTTTCTTACTTGTTTATTTTACACTAAACATGCCAACCGCTTTAAAGGTGCCAAATATGTTTCTATTTTGAAACACACAAGAAATATAAAAAGTTTGAATAAGTATTCGTCCTCCAAAGATCAATACTTTGTAGAGCCACTTTTTGCTCTTAAAGGGTAAGCTCCAGCTCCTTTAAATTGGATGAGTTTGTAAGTCACACATTCTCAATTGGATGAATTTAATGGCTTTGACTAGGCCAGGGGTCGGTGACCAGTGGCTCCCTTTAGCCTTGATAACTATTGACATAAATATTGTCTATTTAAATGTACTTCCTGTTGTACAGTGGACAGTCTTTCTAATGTAACACCTATTATTATTATTATTATTATTATAGTTTGAGGTGATACCACTGAAATAACAAAAACTGTTTCAGAAACTCGCCAAATGAAATGTGCGTGTCACATCCTACTAAATCTACCCACTGCGATTTTTATCCTGAGTAACCATCACCAGAGGCCTGTACTACGAAGCTGGTTCAACATAACCTGGATATGTTTGAGTTAGCCGGTTGGCCCAATCCAAAACATACGCGCTCTCGCTAAGCTGTACTACGACGCTGGTTATCAAGTGGATCGCTCAAGCCAGCCGTGTCCTATCTAGTTAGGTGCGCGTTCACATGAAAGGGGTGGTATTTGGAGCATTCGACCAATCTCAAACATGGACAAGCGTACTGACAGCGCAACGTCATACTTCCTGAATGAAAAGTGAACTTTAATATTAGTCAAATATGAAGAAGTTAAACTTTAAACATCCATGACTTAAACACTTTATCCAGGATAAAAGCCACATAGCTGCACCTGCAAGGTGAATACAGCTGGTAAAAGAAAAAGCGTTTGAATGCGTACATTAACAGGTTTATGAAATCACTGCCCCGTCCAAGACACGAGTGGATCTGACTTTAATTAGGAGAATTTGACTCGAGTCAACTTAATGTGTTGCTTAAAATAATACTTCTGCATACAGTATGTGACACTGAGTGTTGCACGGCCAGATACGGCTCAAGAAGCTGACTCAAATAAGGAAATATATGATACATTATGATGTGATATGATATGAATGATAATGGGACACATCGACGTCTGCACTCACAGTGCCGCGGACTGTACTTAATGTTACTCTGATCCGGTTACTTATGTCGTGGCAGATATTTAAGTAAGCTTTCTTAACGCTAATGTTATAATAGTCAGATTGCTCTGAAGATGGGAGGGGATATTCTATTAATTTTCACGTTCACACAGTCAGTTGATTTTGGCCGGCCGTCTTTCCTGCAACGGCAGTTTTTCTGTATTTCCTCTATCCTGTAATATGAATTGATCGCTTTAAACTCCGCACACGGAGCTCTGATTGGTCAGCAGGCGGTGCTTTCACTGAGTTGATCTCTTAGCCTGCAACCTAACCCGCTCCGGAGCAGGGGGCTATACTACGAATCAAGATTTTCGTTTAGCAAGCTAACTTCAGGGGTTTCCGGTCCTACGAAGCTGGTTCACTTTTTAGCGGGCTAGATAACTTATTCTGAACGGCTATCCTCCGGAGCAGGATAGGTTCCAGGATAAAAGCACTGCCTGCTGACCAATCAGAGCTCAGTGTGCGGAGTTTAAAGCGTTCAATTCATATGACAGGAGGAGAAAGGAAATACAGTTTAAACTGCCGTTGCAGGAAAGACAGCCGGCCAAAATCACCGACTGTGTGAACGTGAAAATGAATAGAATATCACCTCCCATCTTCAGAGCAATCTGACTATTATAACATTAGCGTTAAGAAAGCTTACTTAAATATCTGCCACAACATAAATAACCTACAGTCCGCGGCACTGTGAGTGCAGACGTACCCCATTATCATTCATATCACATGATATCACATCATAATGTATCATATATTTCCTTATCTGAGTCAGCTTCTTGAGCCGTATCTGGCCGTGCAACACTCACAGTGTCACATACTGTATGCAGAAGTATTATTTTAAGCAACACATTAAGTCAAATGTCAAATGTAATTAAAGTCAGATCCACTCGTGTCTTGGACGGGGCAGCAGTGATATCATAAAACTGTTAATGAACGTATTCAAACACTTTTTCTTTTACCAGCAGTATTCACCTTGCAGCTGCAACTATGTGGCTTTTATCCTGGATAAAGTGTTTAAGTCATGGATGTTTAAAGTTTAACGTCTTCATATTTGTCTAATATTAGTTGACTTTTCATTCAGGAAATATATGACGCGCTGCGCTGTCAGTACACGGCTTGTCCATGTTTGTGATTGGTCGAATGCTCCAAATACCACCCCTTTTATGTGAACGCGCACCTAACTAGATAGGACACGGCTGGCTTGCGGTCGAGGTGATAGCCAGCGTCGTAGGACAGTTTAGCGAGAGCGTTTTTTTTTTTTGGATTTAGTCAGCCGGATAACTCAAAACATATCCAGGATATGTTGAACTAGATTCGTAGTATACCCCCCAGGTTTGCCGCTCAGCATAAGTTACCATGGAAATCTAGCCTGCTAAAAAGAGAACCAGCGTCGTAGGACCGGAAAGCCCGAGATTTCCCTGAAGTTAGCCGGCTCAGCGAAAATCCAGCTTCGTAGTACAGGCCTCTGATGTCAGTAAAATAATCATGGATAAATCCCAAAAAATAATGAATACGATCGTTTTCGGAGCTTATCCAGAAAGCTGAGCAGAGCAAAAATCTTTCAATATATCAAGTCTTGAAACTCAACCACTACTGCTTTTTTTTGGCTGCTCATGAGATATTAAGGCATGGGAAGCTGTTTAATACTGGAAAATACACAAGAAATATCGTGAATTACAATATCAGAGCATCTATTTTCGGACTTCAAAAAGTAAAAAGCGAAATTGTTCAGAAATAAGTTGACGTCTTTTAAAGACCATAAAGAACTGGGCCATTAAAATGGCAACAATTCAGCTGCAGCCTACTCTGTGATGAGTTTAATATAAACTATATCAAACACACAGCGCTGTTATACGGTACAGATTCAGGCGATTGCTTTACGTCAATGAGGTAAAAACTGAGGGAGTGCGGGCACACTGAAACTGCTGTTTAAAGTCTTAATTAAAAACAAACTGGCCTATTTTTCATGTTTAATCTTATAGCCCTATTAGGCTGCAGGTATATGTTAATTACTTTTTATATTATTTATATTCCACATATGGGTAGGAATCAAAATAGGTCTTCTTTATTAAGAGTACTGCCTACCCATGCCAGTGTTTTTTTTTTGTCAACAAAAATAACAATAAACAACAGTTTGCTTTACTGTCATTCTTTAATACATGCAACAATATGTAGCTTTTGTAAATGTACAAATATAGATATAACTTTATAAACTTTGTTATCAAACATTATTTGTGGCAAAGGGGGCGAAATGGCTCATACAATAGTAAAAGTTAGGCAGCCTTGGGTCCCTTGAAAGGCGCTATACAAATGTAATCTATTATTATTATTATTATTATTATTATTATTAAAAGACCCCTGAGGCCTGTACTACGAAGCCGGATTTTCAGGGAAAACTCTGGGTTTCCGGTCCTACGACGCTGGTTCTCTTTTTAGCGGGCTACATCTCCATGGTAACTTATGCTGAGCGGCTAACCTGGGGCCTGTACTACGAATCAGGATTTTCGTTTAGCAAGCTAACTTCAGGGATTTCCGGTCCTATGAAGCTGGTTCACTTCTTAGTGGGCTAGATCAGGGGTTCCCAACCTTTATTGTGCCAAGGACCGGCAGATACATAAAAAAAAAATCGCGGACAGGTTGTCAATTTGAACTGATTGTAATATTTACTCACCACCAGCAGGTAGCAACAGAGGCTAATTGTATGTAACAGCCTGAACAAATACTAGAACAATATGCATCCAAAACATATTAACAAAGTTTAAAAAAGAACCTGTGTCGTTTTTTGGCACAGGTCGGTGTGCGTGCGTGCGTGCGTGCGTGCGTGCGTGCGTGCGTGCGTGCGTGCGTGCGTGCGTGCGTGCGTGCGTGCGACACTGGCATTTGTTTTCAGAAGATATTATGATAGTGTCGTTCGTTCCGGTGCACTCCGACAGCATTTAGCACTACATCGAGATTAAGATTAAACTAATTTATTTTGGGAACAGCCGCATATATGGAGTTAGCCATATGTGTGTAAATTACTGTTCATAAACATTTGAAAACAAATGCCGGTGTCGGACAGACACAAACACACCGAACACACAGAGCTGAGCTGAGCAGAGCACATACACACACACACATCATGCGCCTTGGTGAAAATTAAACACTTTTTGAAAAAAATATGATGATAAAATATTTGTATATATTTATAATTCTGCAAATATTACGATAAACTCACAGCTATTTCGCGGCCCGGCAGTAACACCGGGGGTTGGGAACCCCTGGGCTAGATAACTTATGCTGAACAGCTAGCCTGCTCCGGAGCAGGATAGGTTCCAGGATAAGAGATCAACTGTGCAGAGTTCTACTTCTTTGCTTTAATGGCGAATCGCTTCCACTTGGAGCATATATCGCCACCTACTGTTGATTTATTTAATGTCCATGTTAAATCCTTGTCCTCAGACCATTTCAATAAGGATAAATCTATTACAGGTTGAGGTAGCAACCATGGTGGAACAGCTGATAACAACAGTGTGCCGTTGCAGGAAAGACGGCCGACCAAAATCACCGACTGTGTGAACGTGAAAATTAATAGAATATCCCCTCCCAT